GTTCAACCTAATCCCAGCCTGTCCATGGAGCCTCCAATTTAATGCCACCATGACCCATGCAATAGGAAGATATATGAGTGAAATGAGAAATAGAACCAATGGTGAGAACTATGATAATGATGTCTAATGAAGTATAGGAAGAAAGCTCATGCATATTGATCTCCAAAGGATTGTACAATAATCAATATGAATATGCAAAAGGGTAATGATGGTACGAACGATGAAAGGTGGTAAAAACAAACTCGGCGAACATGAAAATTAACTATAGATTTGTCTTCGTGATACTCATGCTATTTGAGTTTTCACGGTGATGAGAAGTCGGAGAACACTGAAGTATATACACAGGAGAGGAAACCGATTGGTTGAGCCGTGCAAGTGGAATACAACCGAAGGATCAATTTACAAAAACAACCTTTTCTAAATCAAATTTCTTAATTTGACCTAAGATCATACAAAGTTCTGTGTTGAAAAAACAAATGTCACCAATCACCCTTGTAAAATAACTCAGGAACATGGTGAAAGATTTCCATCCCATCCATGTTAATTAAAAACAAAACAAAAAAAAACACACACACACAAATGCATGTAGGCAAAACTTTTACAGATTGATCCCTACTAGTGAAGGGAAACCAATTGACATTTGGTTAGTGTCTGAAGTTAAGATTTACAATTGAAGGGTGGAAAATGACAAATTGTTATAGCTTTCCACGATTGAATCTTAATATTAGAAGATAGGAGACTACTATTGTTAGAGTTTTTCACGATTGAATTTAAATATTAGAAGATGGAGACTAGCTACTAGCCTCATCTTACAACTTTTTAATGTTTTTTCACGATATGAATATACGTATTATATAACCTTAGACAAAAATAAAGCGATTGTAGTCCGTTCTGACTACAACGCAGCTCCACCATTGCATATGGAGATAAAGATAGGATCTCATCCATCGATCAGTTTGACATTGGGCGGTGAAACAAGAGATTCTACTGTGTGTTGCGACTATTGTGTTTTTGCAATTTGACATGCCTCGCTCTGATAAAGCCTTTTAACAAGGATAAGACAAAGCTGCAAACAAGCAAAGCACAACGATACTCCCTTTATGTTTTCATCGATCAATCTCTTCTTGTTGCTCTTTTCCCCGCTCAAGCCGGAAAGGGTATTTCGTAGTTTCCTTGCAATTCGACCATTTTGTTGCATTGCACCTTTTTTTTCTCCACATGTCTCACACTCCATTTTAGCTTTTCCTTTTGGTAACATGCCACCTTCAATTTCTTATCATAGTGTTCTTGAGTTTTGTACTCTTTCACTTATCTCTTGTTCTTGTCCTTCCTCGAGTCATTGATGAAGTTTGCATGATTTAGGGTTGGCATGGCCCATATGGGAGTTAGATATGTGCTTTGTAGTTTACTTTGGCTAAACGAAGGGATGGATCATGGATGCAAGCTTATAAAATCAAAGAGGGAGTAGGGCTCGCTTTGATCGTTTTATTTTAGAGTTGTTTATCCGATTTCAGTTGTTGTTGTTGTATCATATCATTTTTGGACCTTTCTCCGACAAATAAAAAAAAATTGGAACTGATCAACTGATTCTTGAATGGTATCGAGCCTTTTAACATATTGAGATTAGCCATTAGGGATGCGAATCGAACCCGAACCCATGGATATCCAACCCGGTCAAAGCAGGTAAAACCCAGCGTTGATGGGGTTTTGTTGGGTTTGGGTTTTTCGTTTTGGAAATTAGTGAGTTGGTTTGGATTTTGTCAAACCCTAACCTACTTTTCCCCCCGGCCCGCACTCAAACACCAAAATGACCTTATTTTATATCTAACTTGAAACATTTGGATAATTTATGAATGTTATTAATCTTTATGATAATATGAACTTAGTAATATGAGTAATTTATGAATATTATTACTATTTATATAGATTTATTAGTAGGAAATCCTTTGATGATATTACTATTTGTATGTTCCACATAATAGATTCTAGGGGTGGGCATTGGGTGGGTCGGGTGGATTTTGACCATAAAATGCACCCACCCGCGCTTAAACGGATTGATAATTTTTAACCCACCACCCACCCACATTTAGTCTCGGGTTGGGTCGGGCGGATGGTGGATGATGCGGGTGGGTTTGTGGGTTCACCCACATCACAATGTATATAATATAAAGGAGTCAACTTGACATGATAATAGGTGAAGAGAATCATCGAGGGAAACAAGAAGTTGAAATAGGGCGAAAAATGTCGAATTAGTTCTTAAATTGGATAGAAATTCTATTATGAAAGAGTTTTCTACAGATTGAGACGATTATTAGGTGCAAGGAACTAAGGAAAATAGTTCCACAAAGGAAAGAACGGTGATCTAGGCACAAGAATTAGAGGAAAAAGTAAAGGGAAGAAGAGGGATCTCTATTTGGAAGCTTGGCTTTGAGGTTCAAACTCCAGGAGCAGTCCGAGTTTATATCTAACGTCTCCACTCTCCTCTCTCTAGCGCCAACGACTTTGATCTTTTTGTTGTTGGGTTGAGCGGGTCACCCGCACACTCACCCACAACCCACCCACCACCCGGCGGATGGCTCCCAGCGCAACCCGTCACCCACCCACAGACCCACCCACTTCACGAAATTCGGGTCAAATGCGGGTGGGCCGACCCAAACCCGTGGATGATCCGCCCGCATGCCCAGCCCTAATAGATTCAGATGATGAGAATTATAATAAGCAGCAAGTTGTGAGAAAGAGATCCCCTAGAACCATGATTACAAATTGGCGACAAAGTTCATGAGATGCACAATTTTATAAACTGGCAAATAATATAAATATCATCATCCTATCCATTTCACCCTCTAGATTGAGGAAAACATCTGTCTCCAGAATGTAACTTATTATAACTATGTGGTCCACATAGTTTTCTTGAAACAGGCTTAGTGAAAAGGACTAGTCCCTATAGTATCTTTCATTTCACTATTGGCCCTTATCTTTCCAAGAACAATTACACTAAGCCTACACGAGAATTCCATTTCCATGGCTGCCTTTTTTCTTTCAACTGTGTTCTTCATTTTGAACTGCCCCCGGCCTGCAGGACCGTCGGCGGGCCTTTTGGCTTGATGGGTTTTTTTTCATTAGAGGAAGTAAAGTTGACTGTCTGTCTGATTGCGTCTGTCATTTTGGAGATTCACTTACTGTTCTTTTCACCCATTTGGCACTCACCAATTCACTCCCAAACTTTTCTGTTTGTGTGTTTGATTGTTTTGTGTGTATTTTGAAATGCACATATTTTGATTCCTTCAACAGAAAAGAAGAGAACATGCATGTTGTTTCCTAAAACACAGATGTGTGCTCTATCATCATGGTACACTTGTTGTCGCAGAGATGGACGCTGTTAATGATCTTCAGTGGCGAAACGAGTAGCGTTGTAGGCTCGTAGCGCAATCAGGGATCGAAGTTATTCTAGGTTAATTTTAATTTTACATGAACGGGGAGGTATGAATCGTCGTATCTGCATCGTATAGTTGTTTCGATATTTTGTGAGCTGATAGACTTCTAAATGCAGCATTAAGCCCCAATTGTTTGAGAGGTTGAGTCAGAGGTAGTAGAGATATGAGCAGCATGTTTGTTTTGCCATTCTTTAGTTTCCTATTTAATCCTTTCTCAGAGCTTTCTGTTTCCTTTTTTCTTCACTTCTTTAATGGGAAGTAACTGACCATTCAAGTCAACAAAGCCTCTGAAGTCTGATCAGAGAGCCTAAGGCTGAAGTTAACGGCCTGGAAGGTAATTCAATGTTAAAATCTGCTTTCTGTTTCAAAAAAATTCAAACTCCCATCAATGGCGAGCACATGCTCCCTCCCTATCCTAATCCCAACAAAGTCTCCCATCTCCATTTTAAAAAGTGCTTTCCCAATTCAAACAGCTGCCCCAATTCCCGCAAAACTAATCAATCTCCTCTCCCACCACCAATCAAGGAGGAAAATGGAATTAAGGCACTAGATAAATCATTCAAGACACACGATCTAATCGTTGTTAAGTCGTATTCTATTCACCATGGTGGGCATGATAGCAGTGAAATCTCCCCCATCACATAATCTCACACACATTGCGAGACCGACATAGCAATTTCGTTTGTGATTTAGGGGGGAAATGTTCGATACTGCAAACTCGAGCTATCGAGATGAACTAGTGAGAGCAAACATCGATTGCCATTGCTGACTCTGCTCAAGAACCCAGTTACCTTATCTACTGTTATAAAGATGGAAGAACAAGGAGGCATTATTTCTAGCAACACATGTACAAGACCAAGAACACCATCTACCAGAAAAACCAAGTAGCTAGAAGGAGACTGAATGACACAAATGAAAATCTGGGGAATGATCAAAATACAAGTAAGAATTGTTCATCATGATCTATATTATATAAAAATTGCCCAACAAAAAAGAGAAGGAAAACCAAAACAAAGATCCAAGAAGAAGAAGTATGATATAAATAAGAAAAAAAAAAAAGAAAAGGAAAAACAATAAAAATGCCATCCCAGCAGCTGCAAGTAGCTCTCTTTTCTCTGATCATGGTGCTTCTCCATCCCAATTCCCACCTTCTATACATACAAACTTTCCCCCCACTGCAAGATCTCTCTAACTCTCTCTGAAAGTACCTTATTACTCTTCTTTTAGGACTCAACTGTGATAACGAACAATTCGAATAAATCTATTGAGAATACTTTCCCCAATCTTACTGGAATGAAAATGATATCTAGACATCAAATACGGTAATGAACTTGGAAGATTGATAGCCCCTTTTACCGCCATTTTTGGTTGCCGGAGGAGAAACTTGGAAACTCTTGACTGTAACCCTTTGCTGTTGATACCTGAAAGTTTTCTTTCTTTATTTCCATCTCTCAAATTGAAGCACGAGAATTGCCCCCCACAAAAAGAGTAATAATAGAAGAGAAGAATTGCTGTTTTGTAGTTGTAGTTGTTGATGCTGAAACGAAAGACTCCATTTTTTTTTTTTTTTGTGATGAAAGGGTTAGAAAGAGGGAATTCTCAAAAGAATCAATAGTAAGGCGGTGGTGGAGGGGATGAGTATGGAATCCCCACGACTGGCGGCAATGGCCCCATGTACTCTGGCGGTGGAGGAGGAGGGCTTTTGTGTAATCTTGGCGACGGTGGAGGTGGGGATGGGTAAAAGATTGGCGCCGGCGGTGGGGATGGGTGATGGATTGGCGGTGGTGGTGGTGGGGAAGGAGACGGCGGTGGTTTATAGGGTGGGATTGCTGGTGGCGCAGGGGGTGGATTTTCCACACACGGCGGCGGAGGTGGAGGTGGTTCTATACACGGCGGCGGGGGCGGAGGAGAAGATGGGGGAGGCGGTGGGGGGAGGTAGACCGGTGGCGGGGGAGGTGGAGGAGACAGGTAGGGGTAGACAGGAGGTGGCGGAGATGGCGGTGGAGGGGAATTTGGGGGCGGAGGGGAATGGGGAGGCGGTGGTGGGCTGCCGTAGTAAGGGTTTGGCGGTGGCGGTGGGGAAAAGAGTGGAGGCGGCGGTGGTGAATTTGGTGGTGGTGGTGGCGGGGGACGGGTACATGGAGGCAATGGGGACGGGGAAGGAGGTGGAGGCGACGGAGATGGCGGCGGCGGTGATGGGGGTGGAGGGGATGGGGATGGCGGTGGCGGTGATGGTGGCGGAGGGGAAGGAGAGGGCGGCGGTGGTGAAGGCGGAGGAGGTGATGGTGGCGGAGGCGAAGGAGAGGGTGGTGGTGGAGACGGCGGTGGCGGTGAAGGAGGAGGTGGTGGTGGAGAGTAAACCGGTGGAGGTGGTGGAGAGTAAACCGGCGGCGGTGGAGATGGAGGTGGTGGTGGTGGTGGTGGAGAGTAAACCGGCGGCGGTGGTGGAGGCGAGTAAACTGGCGGAGGTGGAGGAGGTGAGTAGACAGGTGGAGGCGGCGGAGGAGAGTAAACCGGCGGTGGAGGTGAGTACACAGGAGGAGGCGACGGGAGCACAACAGGCGGCGGTGGAGGCGACGGAGGAGGCGGAGGCGGCAGAGGAGGAACAAAAGGAGCACATCTGAAAGCACTACACCTAACCGGCTTCGACAAAACCGCCTGGCATTGCCCAGGCGGCCTCTGCGCCGGCCGATTCGGCAGGCAATTCCTCCTGTCATCCACCGCCGGCAAGGCCAGGCACTGCGGCGGCTCTCCGGTGAAGAAATTGTCCGAGTAGGTGAAATTCTGCAACCTCGGCAGCTGACAAATCGCCCCCGGAATCGCACCGGACAACAAATTGTGCGCCACATTCAGCTGCTCCAAGCTCACCATCCCTCCAATCGTGTCCGGCAACGGACCCATCAGCTGGTTGAAGCTGACATCAAACACCGTCAAATTCCTCAGCCGCCCGATCTCCGGCGGCAAGCACGACCGGAACCCATTGTTCATCATGATGATCTCGTTCAAATTCGTCATGTTGCCCAAGCTCGCGGGGACGCAGCCATGGAAATTGTTGTTGGCCAGCACGATGACGGAAACAGGGGAGTTCCCAAAATTGTCCGGCAGCTCGAAATGGAATCGATTGTGGTTGATGAAAATCGCATCCAAATCCTTATCGAAGAGCTCTTTCGGCACGGTGCCTTCGAATTCATTGAACCTGAGATCCAGAAACTTCAATTTGGGCATCAATAGAGTGACATTGGGGAACTTCCCGGCGAACCTGTTGTTGCTGAGATCCAGCTCGTAGAGCCGCTTCCAGTTCCTGAACTTCTGAGGCACAATCCCACAGAATCGATTCGAATTGATGTGGAAAATAGCCAGATCTCTTAAAAGCCCCAGCTCCTCGGGCAGGTAACCGGCGATGTCGGCGTGGTTGAGGTCAATGCCGGCGACGGTACGGATGGTGTTGTTGTCCGGCGACGGAGCACAGAAAACCCCCTCGTAGCTGCAGACATCCGGGCCGGTCCAATTTCCGGTGACATTGAACGGGTCGGAGATAATCGCCTGCTTCCAGGCCTGCAGCGCGATGTAAGCGTCCCGGAGCCTCGGGTTCTCGAAGACGAAGCCCGGCGGGACCGTCACGTTCTCGCCCCGGTCGCCGAACTCGTCCTTGTAGTACAGGAGCTGCCGGCGGCGGAGGTAGGAGACCTCGGCTTGAGTGAGTGTTCCATGGCTGGAAATGGCTGGTGGGATCTCTGCATCAGAAGACGAGTTGACAAGGGAAAGGGAAACGAAGGAGAGGAGGAGGAGGAGAAGAGGGAAGAAATTGGTATTATTCTTCTCCTTCATTTCAAATGAGCAACATCTACTGCTAGACTAGCAAAAAGTGCCACTCCAATGGGGGCTTTTCCTTTCGAGTTCTTGCTTTGATTTTCCTCTCAAACAGGAGCCAAAGCTTGAATCTTTGGCCTGTTTGGAGAAATGGGTTGGGTGGGGAAATGGGTTTTGGCTTCTGGGTAGTGGAGATTTTTTGAGATCTGAGAATGGAGGAGGAGGAAGAAGGGGGAAATGGTGGGGTTTTTTGGGGGTTGAGGAGAGAGAAAGGGGGGAGGAGGGTTTTAATGGATTCTAGGGATTATGGAGATGTGTGAAAGAAAGGCAGGGAGGCTATGAAGAAGAAGAAGAAGGGAATGGAGAATTGGAGGAGGGAAGGGGGGAAGGAAATAATGCAAATATCAAAAGGACAGCTAAATCACAGCTCAAAACCCACCAAATTCTATCCCTCATCCCTTTCCATTGTGAGACCCTTACTATTTTTTTATTATTTTTTCTCTAAATTTTGTGGGCATTTTAATAATTTGATTTCATATTAGGAAGGTTATCAAGCCACGGGTCGATCAGATTGACCCGAGTCCGGTGAGAAAAATGGCCTTCACGAATCCGCGAGTCGACACGCATCAAGGTTCCTGAAATGGAGGTCATGTGATATGATTTAACTTTTTTTTCTTTGATTTGTGAATTGCACATCTTTTCGGGTTTTATCCTCGCCTGACTCTAATTTTAGAATTCGAAAATTGAATACTTGAATATTGATATTATATGAGTGTGCTTGAATTTTGCCTATGTGTTGGGTCAGAGTAAGAATTATTATTTTGCTGTAACATTCGACTCACTTATCGAACGGACCAACGAGTTAAACTGGATTGACAATTTTAAATATTAGCATTAATAATAATAATAATAAATAACATATTCCCTTTTGTTTGGTCTGCCTCTTCTTTGAGAATGGCTCCTTTTTTAATTTTGAAAAATCCAAGCTTAGTAATAATCATCAAAAGTTAATTGTTTTTTTTTTTCCCCCACTTTTGTTTATGTGCCGGAATAGGAACCAAAAATGGGGAGAAAACAAAAAGTCAGGTGCAAACAAGGGGATGGAGGGTGGATTAGGGTGCTGGATTATGGCGCCATTTGACCATTGGGATTGTGCTTTGTCTTTAGTTTTAACTTTTACTATGAGAATAAAACCAGAAGATGGGCTCAAAAGTTGAACGGTTCGGTTCGATCCAGCTCAGTTCCACACCAAATTTGAACACTAAAATTCAATTAAAGGCAGCTCCAAGATATAAACAATGAATTTTTTTTATTTAAGAAAATCTTACTTTGTCTAATGTTAACGCTCAGTATAATCTAAGAACAAAAAAATTGGAAATAAATAAATAAAAACAGAAAACGTTTAGTATGGTACAAACTTTAAGGGTTGAGAGATAATAACATTTATCATCTTTTGGGAATTTTCATCAGCGGTCTCTAACATTAGTTTGACAAGATTTAGAATCACAGCCTCATCTATCATGTTATGATATTAAGATGTGAAGCTCATCTTAGACCAGCGAGTTCCTCTCGATACCAACATTTAGTAGAGTTATGCAAACAAATTGGTGAGGTAATGAAAATTTAGAGGAAAATTGCCAAAAAAACATAATGTCCAAATAGTGTTTAGAAAGTGAGACCTTTCGAGTCAGATATCGCGCGACAAAAGCAATGCATTTTGATATGTATGCACCCTTTGCAAACATATGAAAACTACTCAAATGGGCTACTTTGAGTCAAAATGCCACATTTCCCACTTCCAAAACGAGATATCAGACCAACTGAACCAATTCATAGGTTCAAAGGATGTTTGAAGATCAACACAACATTTGAGAAACGATTAGACGAGACAATTACACAAATTGTTTCGCTTTAAACCATTTTCTTAACTCAAATGTCTCACTGAAATACCTAACACGAATGTCAAAAGACAATTAGGTTTATAGTTTAACGTATGTACTTCCTACTTGGACATAAAAAAAATGATTTCACCTTTTTCCTTGGTGCTTTACTAAAACAAAAAAAAATAGTGACTAAAATCGACCATGGGTTATCTATCACGAGATGGAAGTGAAAAAGAAAAATCACGGGCCAAAAATTTGGAGTGGTGGGTGGTGCTGCAAATGTTGGGGGACCTATTAAATAAGACTTTTATTTTTTCCAGACAAATACGAATTTTATTTTGATTCCCTTTTTTTATTCATTTCACTTCCGTTATTTATTTTCTTGTGTGGTTTCTTTCTCCCTAATTTTCTGTGTTGTTTTGGTTAGTTAAACAAATGGGAACAAGTTTGAAAATCTATGTAATGTCTGCAATTTTATTCTATAAATTATATTATTTTTTGTGTTAAAAGAGGGATAAGAATTGGTGCTTTTGTTTTTAAAGAAGTGTTATATTACAAAATTTAAACATTTGTTCCACTATGAACTTAAATTCAAAACAACTCTCGAACGGCTATACTGATTCAATGTCGAATTCATACCTTGTGTCAACAAGTTCATGTAACTATCGAGTATGAGCGCTTCTAGAGAGAGGCTCCACCTGAAGGGTGGGCGAGTATTAACACTCATGTCTTTCCTTAACACGCTCTCTATATTTGAGCTTTACTGGTAACATCGTCAAATTGAAGCTCAATCACTTCTTAAGGCCTTCAAAGATCAATGTCATAGGTGAAACTAGCACTAAATTATACGTGGTCCCTAGCTAATCTTGGAGTTAAAAATGTCCATAAAATTAATTCCACTGTCATTATACTCTATTTCGACTCTCCATCTAATTCAACATTTTCCCCACACGCTTAATTTATCTTTTTTTAATAAATAAAAACTTCTCACCGTTTTTACATCCTTTATTTTCTTTTGTTTACAAAAGCAATTGATGGTGTTGTTATTGTGATTTTCCTCCTATTAATCGTCATTGGTTAGAATCTTTTTTTTTTATTATTATCATATCTTAGTTTTCCCCTACTACAAATAGTTAAATATACAAGTTTTCATAGTCCAAAACTCAAAATCGGTCTCTTTCACCAAACCCATAGTTTTGCTCGACATGGTCAAACATATAACACACATATTTTTAATTATCATAGAAGACAAGGTGAAAGAAACTAGAGAGTCATCGCCTTTGGAT